AAACCTGGTCCAAACCCAGTCTAAATCCGGTGTAAATATGGTTTAAACCTGGTCCAAACCCAGTCTAAATCCAATCCAAACCCAGTGCAAACCGAGTCTAAATCCAGTCTAAACCCAGTCTTAATCTGGTCTAAATCCAGTCCAAACTCGGTCCAAACCCAGTCTTAATCCAGTCCAAACCCAGTCTCAATCTGGTCTAAACCTGGTCTAAAGTCGGTCCAAATGTAAAACAGAACCAGAGGACCAACAGCAGATGATCTGAAGAGTTCATCAGTGACAAGAATGAAGGTTGACATGTGAAGAAGAGAACATCCAGCAGGTGGCAGCAGACACACACACACACACACACACACACACACACACAATGACACAATGACACACACATCGGGGGCGTGGCCTCCAGCTGCATTTGGAGCGCGTGCAGTTCTGGCAGAGACACGGAGCAGCTGAGCATTTTCTTGATATCGATTATTGATCAGTTATTGTGAGGGATCCTTCTCATACTCTCTGTTATTGACTTCTGTTATTGATCTCAAATATTGTTTTCTGCTCCTGATGTCTGTTATTGATCTCTAGTATTGATTTCTGTTACTGATCTGTGTTATTGATCACGGCCTCAGGAGGTGGAGACCAATCACGATGAAAGGAACCTCTCACTTCTAAGGCTGATGTCACATCTGGACAGCAGACTGTGCTGACTGAGCCAATCGCTAATCAATACATCACGATTCAGCTAATCGAGAGGATTCTGAGTCATCAGGTGTGCGATGACGTCATCAGGTGTGTGCTGACTGGCGGACTGTGACGGCGGTGAGTGTTGGACGGTGGCCTGCAGGGGGCGATGGCTGCAGCCTACAGCAGCTGCGACATTGTGGAGGATTACCTGCACTACAAGCTGCTCAGCAGGGGCGTGGCCTGGCGCTGCTCGCCGCCGCCCGGCAGGACAGGTGGTCGGAGGCCGGGGCGAGCTGAAACATCACACCTGCAAGGCGAGAAGGCCGTCACTGTTGTCATGGCAACAGTCAATGTGTTAACGCCTTTTTGTGTCCTTTCTATCCTTGTCTCCTTCTCTCTATCCTCGTCTCCTTTCTTATTTCCTCGCTATCCTTATCTCCTCCTCTCTATCCTTGTCTCCTCCTTTCTATCCTTGTCTCCTCCTTTCTATCCTTGTCTCCTCCTCTCTATCCTTTATCTCCTTGTTTCCGTCTTACTTTCTTTGTTTCTTCCTTGCATTTTTCCTTTGTTTCTATTGTTGTCATGGCAACCTGAGCGAGGCTGTCACTATGGACACAGATGTTACTACAAGTTATTTTAGCTCCGCCCCCTGCCTCACTCTGATGTCACGGCTCCCTTTGTAATATGACATCACTGTTTCCTGTTTCTACTACAGTGATGTAATTCGCCGATGACACCTCTCCAGTCATGTGATGTTACGTCATAATGACATCATTTGTTGACTCCTCCTAGACCCTTGTTTGGCTCCGCCCCCACTGCAGGCCGCGCTGCGGAGCGCGGGTGATGAGGTGGCGCGCTGTTGCCATGGTAACCTGTGGGCCCACGTGTCGGCGCTGCGGCTGTGTGAGGGCGGCGCGGTGCAGCGGCGCAGCCTGGAGGCGGTCAGCGAGGAGCTCTTCAGGGACGGCGTGAACTGGGGACGCATCGTGGCCATGATGGAGCTGGGCGGAGCTCTGAGCGCCGAGGCTGCTGAGGCTGGAGACATGCGTCAGGTGGACGCCATCGCCGGCTGGATGGAGGACAGTCTGGACTCGCTGCCACTCCGAGGGTGGATTGAAGACAATGGAGGATGGGTAGGAGATGACTCATTCCTACGTTCTTTCCTTGTTTCCTTCTCTCCTTCTATCTAATGTTGTATTCTTCTTTGTCTCCATGTCTCCTTCCCATATTCTTGTGTCCTTTCCTCCTTTATTTCATTGTTTCCTTTTTCACTAGTCTGTCTTTGCATCCTTGTCTCTTTCTTTCTCTTGTGTCTCCCTCTATGTAGCTTTGTCTCTTCAGTTCTTTGTCTCCTTTCTAACCTTGTCTCCTTCTCTTTAGCTCTCTCTACTTCCTTTCTTTGTCGCCTCCTGTCATACATGTCAGTAAACACATCACAGATCAGCTGTAGTACCTGGTTGTTCCACCAGGTGGAGTCCCGACTCATCCTCGACATTTGCAAAACAGTGAAGATTGAACAAGTAGTTTTGAGAATTTCAGCTCTGATCTGAGAAATGTACCAAAGCGACAGAGACACTGTAATACAGCAGAGAGCATTGTGGGAGTTTAGCAGCAGCGGGACCATGACAGGACCTCTGAGGAGGTTCATGACCTCCAACCAGAAAGGAGGAGACACAGCCTGTATGGGTGATGTTTCTGTAGCTGTGCTGCTAAAGTAACCAACGTGGTTTCGTGGTGAATGTTGTGTGTCTGGAGCTCACGGTGGCTTCATCAGCATATGGAAAGAAGTCAGTCACATTGGATTTGTTTTAACAGTTAGCAGATTGATGACGTGAGCGACTATCAATTCAGGAAGTTGTTTGAATTTTGCATCCCTCATGCTGGACCTGACCCTGGTTCTCACCTGAGCCCTCAAACACACCTTTGAGTTTCAGCCTTGAAGGACGTGACACAACTGACTGTTTCCAGCTTGTTCCGACTGGCGGAACCGTCCCTGAGGAACCTCAGTCCGGGCAGAAAATAGTTCCTACTGCAGGGCAGGTACTCCTGAGCTGTCCTGGGAAACAACAACGAGGGGCTCGATGCTGATTGGCTAAACTCAGGACCACAGCTTTTGTGTCCTCGATGTTCTCGTCCAGCAGCAGCTTCTGCTGTTAACCTAAAGCTCTTCATGTGTTCCAACAGAACAAACCTTCAGTGTTCTGTTTCCTACATAGAACTGGAGTTCTGTTCAGTAACTGGTTGGTTCTGGTCACTCTGAGGCTTGGCGCTGAAGCTGTTGGATCTACAGAGGAAGCAGAAGGAGTGAAGGGAACGATCAGAGTCTGATCCTGGGAACGTTCCTGCAGAGACGCCTGATGTGCTTCAGTGCCGAGAGTTTCAGTCTGAACGCAAATGACATGCAAAGAGCAGAAACCCCCTAAAACCCTGTAGAGACTCTGTGTGTGTGTGTGTGTGTGTGTGTGTGTGGACAACATGTTGTCTCCACATACTTGTTTTTTGTGTGTTTCTCATACTAGTTGTTTAAATGTCACTGTGGTCACTTTGTGTCTTGCTTCGGTCTCATTGTGGAACCAGACAGTTCTACAGGAACTAACTAACCCTCTGGTTCCACAATACAGACGTTTCTATCACACTACAACAGACCATTTCTAAGGTCTGACAGATAACCTGTCCTCTGCTGGATCCATTCAGTGGTTCTGATCTGACATGGATGGTTCTGTCTGAGTCAACACATTTCATGGCTGTTGGACTTTTATTTCTGGAGACACTGAACCTTTGAAATGGCTTCACAGATTTCTTTTGAAGTGGAAAATGTCTGAAAACACCCGAACTCCCTAAAATTCTGCCAAAATATTTTGCAGAACTTTGTTTTTGGTCCCAAATAATAAAGAAGTAAATGCTGAACAGAATCTGGCTCCATTTGGTAGAAACCAATGGTTCCACTCAAACATCAGCCTTCCAGAGACTCCAAACCTCTAACGGTCTGGGGTTATTTGCAGCGTTCTGATTGGCTGACAGAGGACGCAGCAGCGCCTGTCCGTTCAGGTTTGACATTTGGCTGAAAATCTTCAGAAACTCGAGCAGCGTCTGGTTCAGAGCGTGAGAGCGTCGACGCAGCACACATGCTTTTACTTTCTGTCGCATTCTCTAACGGCGCTGCGGTTTCCTTCAGTTGAGCTGATCAGACGTGTGTGTGGTTTTACCTCGAAAAAGCTTTTCAGGAAATCAGGGTGGTGGTGTTTCCGTCTCAGACTTCAGATCAGTTGTTTCTGTAGAAATGTGAAAAACAAGGTGAGCTCCTGCAGTCAGAAACCCTGGAGAGCTGCCCCGAGGGCTGCAGGTGTTTGTCACAGGAAGGCCGCCGGCTGGAAGCAGGAGAGGCTTTCAGCTCCAAGAACAGACGCAGCAGAGATCCGAGCTGCTCCCTCCGACCTCAGTGACAACACGTTCCTCCGAGACGTTCAACATGGTGCCTACATCAGGACGGCAACACGCCCTGAGACTCTGGAGCTCATCCACAGTGACCTGAAAGCACTGAAAGACTCAGAAATGAAGTCTGTTGTCTTGAAATTCAACACAAACCTCCTCAAAGCTGAAGATTTCTCTGTAATTTACCCGTTAAAGTCTTTTAATTTAAAGTCTTTTTTATTTATTTGTTCGTTTATTATTGAAATGATTTCAGGGCAATCAGAGGAGAAGAGGTCGACTGGAAGGATGAATCTTCTCTATTTGTACTCATGAATGGTCAAAACAAATCCTTTACAAACACTCAACTGAAAATTCAGCCCAAAGTAGAAACTAAAAGAACCACAGTGAGTCCAACTATGGTTTCCAGTAGAGCAGCAGAACCTTCTCAATTCTGGACCTCTGGACTGTGTCTATCT